AAAAGGCGTTCCTGCACTCTGGCTGAGCTGTGACCATTTTTCATTTCACCTGATGTCCCTTTTTTCATCTCGATAATTTACATTGTATCCGCGTCCGACGTGACTTGTTGTTCCTTCGGTGTGCAATCGTATGTCGTAATACCGATACTTTTTCAAGTGAAGTTGCGTTCGCACTTTTAACTACCATTACCACTACTTCGCATCACCAAGCCTATAATTCGCTTGTTGATAGTCTCCCTTGAACTAAAAGCTGTTTTTAATTTTATAAACGATGGTTGTTCTCGAGGCATATGTTTGGAAGCTACGTTTTTCTTCTACGACCATTTGAGAACTTACAGCAAAACTTGCTGTGAATTCACCAGTACAGGTGGAGTTCGCTGTGGTTGTTGGACCTCTTTTCAATTTTACAATCAGACTAATCATGTACGACCCCTGCATCGTACCACTTTTTCCGGGGTTGACGTTCGCCTGGATTCTCTTGCTTCCATACTTAGTGTGTGAACACATGACTCTGTGTGTGTCAGCATCAGGTGCCTTACAAGCGCTTCACGCTGTGCTAAGCAACCTGTTTCTACAGCAGGGGTCCGATTCAACGGCGGTTTGCGCTCTCACCGAATCACCGGCCGGAATGATCGATCAGCAAACTAAGTACTTGCACCGCTCATCTGACATTCGCATCACCGAGCAGATCACTGTACGCACATCATTAAGATTCTTGTGGCTCTTTAATGTCCCTGTCTCTTCTGAAGACATCAAAATGTAGTTTCTGGATGTGCTTGCGAAACTACGTTGTGGCCAGTGTGCTTGCGTGTGGATCAGAGATATGACGGCTGCGCACTGAGGATATTAATGAGATTTTATCATCTGGTGGAAGCACGGTCGTCCGGAGTCTGGTAGTCAATACCTCATCCGACTGACCGTTCGAATCGCCTCCGTGAGTTCAGTCATGCGCTCCGCGTGCTTGTAAACTGATACTGTGATTGCGTCTGCGCATACGACGGTGTCCCCACCTCATCTCTTGAGTCACGAGGGCTTGTCTCCGTTTCCTTCTTAAACAGTTGCGTACCTGTTGACCTGGGACCACGCGTTGTCCGCGTTTTACCGCCATATGGACTAATTTATGGAAGTAAATATTTGTTTGACAAAACACAACCTCCAAACTTCTTGACAAAGTAGGGAATGTCAGCCCCAATTGTGCGATGGCTGATTTCTCGTCTTCGGCGACTAAGCTTTTCCCATTTCACTCTTGTTTTGAACTGTGTTGTCAATGTCTACCTTTTCCCATGCTGGTTTGCCTAATAACCTCCTCGTACTGCCAGTTGCAAGGGTCCGGTCTATACCGTTTCGGCGATTGATTCGGTGGCAGTGTTCCAAAACATGCCAAGCGTTCTCCCTATGTCCGTTTATATTATTATTATTATTATTGTTATTCAACACCTGAGCAACATGCAATTGGCAGTGTCACAACACATAGTTAATAACGACAACAAAAAGGGGAAAACAGATAGACAGTGGAAATCTCTGGAAGCTTTACGAGGTTAGTGTGTTGTCCGGGCAGAGATCTTTCCGGTTGCCTAGTCCGAGCAAGCGGGTTGACTTAAGGGACCTCACCCCGATCCTTTGATCATAAAGACCTGACCCGCAAGGCCGCGTGATGATGAACAGATACCTTTGATATCCGAGTAGTTCATTCACTTTCTTTGAGTTTAGTTGCAGTCCACAGAGAAACCGGTAGCCAACAAGGTTGTTCATTCGCCCTCCGTTAGGTACTCACTTCTGGTTACGAAACTGAATGGTCAGTGACCCTATAGCCGGTCACATTGGCTTTGATACAGCACCGTACGAGCTCTTATGGTATTTGTTGGAGAACCAGGTGATCAGCTCAGAACTCCCCACGCTATGAGACGCTGCCGCTGATTGTCCGCGACTGCTTATTCATCTCGCCTGCAAGGAAAACGAGAGCTATTCGCCATTACCTGCACAAGGAAGACATTCCCCAATCCGCAACCGGGGGACGCGCCCGATAGGGTACAGCTCCGCCACGGGATATCTGTTCGACAACACTGATATGGTGGATGTAATTCGCCAGCAAACAGTCACTGTCTATCGCTTTGCTCTGGTGGACCATTGTACTTCAGCAACATGATGCTAAAATGCTGTGGAGGATTGGGCCTCTGGTAACCGACCAAACAAAAGACATGTGAACTGGGCATTTAGTCACCGGCTCCCACTTAGTGCGATTCTCAGACTTCGCTCCGCTGCCTTCCAGACGCTGTTTAGCTAAAGGCTCGTAGTATTGTCTTCTGAGCTAACTCCCTACTTCGGTTTGGATCCGCCTTCTCGCTCAGAAGTCGAACGTGAGATGGGACTGCTGAAGTCTAAGAAAGCCGCGGGACCAGATGAACTTTCTCCAGCTCTCCTCAAATTCGTGGTCCCTGCTCTTGTGGATCATTTACACATGTTACTGGTGAAACTGTCCCAACCGACTCGAGCCGCTTCGTCATAGTCCCAATTTTCAAGAGACTCACTATCGGAATGCGGCAACCATAGAGGAATCCATCGCCGCTAAATTACTTGCCTCTGTCATGCTTCACGAATTGACTGGCACTCTTGAAAGCCAGATTCATGAAGAGCAAGTCAGGTTTCAACAAAATCGAAGCTGCATCGACCACATCTGCAATTTGCTCAGCTGTTAAAGCACCGTTACACATATTGGCGACCCACCGTTATCCTGTTCCTCGACATCAAAGGTGCCTTCGATTCGCTTGATCCAAGTGCCTTTTGGGGCGGTCTAGTCAGGAAAGGTGTGCCCGAAAAATATGCATATATTATCCGACCATCATATTCCCGTAGCTCCGGCAGAGTGAGGGTTTACGCCTAGCTTCCGCTGCCCTTCAATATCTCCATTGGTGTGAGACAGGGATGTCAGCTGTCACTTTTTCAACTGCGCTATTGACAAAGTCACGGAGATCGCGTTTACTGGACACGACCTAGAAGGGGTAGAGCTGCTCCCCGACGAACGACATCTTAGCTTGGAATATGCTGACGATATTGCCCTAATCTGTGACAGCTCCCATGCATGCCAAGCGGCACTGGCTGTCAGCCGTTTCGGGCTATACGTCGCTCCCTCGAAGTGCAAAGCTTTTCTCCAAGATTTGCAGCGATCGCCTGCACTGACCCTTGATGGGGATCAGCTGGAAGTCGTCCAACAACTCAACTACCTTGGTCCTTGTATCAGCGCACTTCGGATCGAAGATGAGATCACGTACCGCATGGCAAAAGCTTGGAGTGCTTCTACTAACCTTCGCAACTTATGGCGCCTACGCGACATCGCTGTCACTCCGGAGGGTAGAGTGCACAATGCATCGGTACGTTCGACCCTACTGTACGGTTGTGAAACCTGGCCCGGTAGATCAGTGGACATAAAGAGGCTAGTTACGTTCGACCACCGATGCCTTCGCAATTTGACTCACATCTGGTGGGAACACCGCTTGAGCGACGAACGTGTTCGACGCCTTGTTTACAGCACAAGAAAAGGAACTGAACCGTTCAGCACCGTTATTTCACGCACCAGGCTCCGATGGCTCGGCCACGTGTTACGCATGCCAGCCAACCGACTTCCGCGACGTGCGTTGTTTGCGCGCCGGGGGTGTGGATGGAAGAAAAGAGGTGGCCAAGCTATGACTTGGTTGAGAGGAATGAAAGTCCTCCCTTCGAAAATGACTTCTGTTGAAGCGTCTCAGCTCCCTGGTTGGGTCCGAAAGACGATGAACACGTTTGGCTGGATACACTTGCTGACATGGCAAGGAGCCGACCTCAATGGCGTTCATGGTGTGAGTTTCTTGATCCCTCTCCATCCCTCCAACCACAATCGCGCCTCTTAGCATACTATATTTTTGGATAATGAATGGTTTTTTGCCGCCTAGTTGCCGGCTGGTAGCTCAGCTACAATGCATCTGTTGCGTTTTTTCCTTTTATAAATTGCGGAACGATATCTGAGGTGTTTACCTCCTCTAGCTGACGTGTATAATGATGATGATGATGATGAACAGCCACACAACATCTGCGTCTACTGAGCGACCTTGCTTGGCCTGCGCCGCACTCAGCGTTGTCCCATTTTCTCATTTGAGTCCATCTTGGTCGTGGGAGATTCCCTTCGAGAATTCCACGACGTAGGCAATGAGAGCATTCATAAAACACCTTCTAGGGACTTCTTCAAAATCGGAGTATTGTGAACGACGTGATAAGCTCAAGCTCCATTCGCTCTGACTAAGGCGAATGAAGCACGGCTTAGTCATATTTTTCAATGTCTTCCACAGAAATGTACACGTCTCTAACCTCAACATCACATTGTTGCAAACAACTTTTTACAAGAGGAGAAACAAACATAACTCATTGGCGGAACGCAAGTCCACGACCACAGGTCTGCAAAAGTTTTCCTTAACAGGTACACCAGAGTCTGGAACAAGCTCTCACTCAGAATAGGTGTCTGCACTTTTAAACAGGAATTTCGTAAAAGCATCAACTAGTTCTTCACTGCATTAAACGTGGTCAAACTGTTTGGTTACTCTATAACAACAAACCAAGTGGACGAACAGGGTCCAAGTTTCATATGACCCGGTACATGTTTCACCATCATGCTGTCTCTTGTGAGTTGGCTGTTTTACATTTAGGTTTGAGAGAGCAGTTAAAAACAAGCTAACATCAGAGCGTTTCAATCAACCATTTATTATGCCTTTTATATCATTGCATACATCACTAGGTGCTCTGATTTTAAATTTTCCTGATCCACTTGTGATCAAGGATCTATACAAATATGCACTTTCCCCGATCATGCCGATGCAGGCGTGATTCGCATCGTCGAGAGTAAAAAAGTTTATTTGTGCTGTCCGCTTGGAAACTAGTTGATCTGCATTATGCGGACCATATTAACTTGCTTGGGTGGCCCCTTTCGCTCCCTACTCTACCATTCTTCTTATCGGTTCCATCTGCGTTTTCAGGTTCCGTCCTCTATGACCTTCCCATCCGTGCCCTGGCAACCGAAAGATGCTGCAAACTTTCGATTATCTGAATTCGCCCCAATCGATAGAACTTGTGTGACCTCTGTGCAGTCATTGCGCCTTCCCACTACTCCAGGGAACCTACCTTGTCCAGATTCCATGCTGACTGCATCGCCCAGTGTTTTGGATAGCTCTCAAGGGAGATTATTCGGCCTTGCTTCCGGTCATCGGGCCATCCCCAACTCACCGTTCGCATTTTCAGAGACCCACAGTTCGGATCTACTCTCAAAGAGCAACCGCACGCAGACGGCGGCGGCGGCGGCTAATGTTCAGCGGCTGTTCACCGAAACTCACTAATTGCCCACACCCAGAGGGACGGGGTTCTACCTCCCAAGCGCATTGTGTTGATGTACCGTTTGTGTGTGTATCGCCATCTATCAGCAAGGTCTTCATAGTGTTTCCGCTCTACTCCACTGTTCTCCTGTTGTCTGTCGTGTGCACATCTAATCACACACACGCTGCCCATCACCTTTACACGTCCTGTAACACTTTTAATTGCCTCGACGGATTTCTCTCTATTATTTTGCTGGTGCGTTTTCAAATCTGACTGTATTTCCGCCGTACATACACACACACTGGTGTCCACAGATGGGGCAACCTACGTTGCTGGTGTGTGGGCTCCCAGCTCGGGCGCGGGAACAACACGTCCACGAGGAGGAAAGTGAGCACGGGAAGTGATGGTCGTAAACTTCTCGTCTTTCTGCATTTTCAAGTCGCAATTGATCCCTCTTTATTATCATTATTATTCCTATTGTTATTCCTGGGTTTTTGTTTTTTGCTACTCCTATTACACAGTCACACAATATAGTGGCACATCTGCCAACCCCCACATGGTCGGAGTAAACGAATCTATACGATGGTCGCTACCATGCGTGATACAGCCTTGAACATGAATACAAATCTGTCGCATTTCCGTTTGACTACTTGTGAGTAGTAATATTTTATACAATTTATTAAGTGCTCTTCGCGGTAGCGTCCGCCGCCATCCGCTACGATGCCCGACAGCGGTTTCATCCTATTGGGACTCCGTAGTAGTGCACACCGTTACCTTTCGCCACTTGGCCACTTTCCTCATTTAATAATCACGCATCTCAGAAAATGCAAGCCGTTAGTAACTTAAGAGAACAATTGCGGAGAAATTTCTATTCAATGAATCTCATCAGGCGCGTACAATTATGAAACAGAAAAACAAAACTCACAAAAAGCTATTACTAGCTGTGCACAAGTAAAAGGATGTCACATGATAGGTGGAACAGTAAAACGGTTCTTTTTATGTACCTTAATCAATATCAGATTCAAACAAGTCACGTTGGACTGGTGGTCTTGAAGCCGGCTAACTGCATGAGGACCAGGGTGGAATTAACGCTTACACGAGAGCTCTGTGCTTGCGTAATTCCGGCTGTAGCCGTCTGATAGCAAGAGCTTCAGCTATATTCAGGAAGCGTCTTTTGAGTCCATTTGAGCATTGCATTAAGTCATCTAGGACAGCCTTAAATGGCTCCTTAACCCGGCATTGATGGTCAGTGTTAATCAGGTGCTCACAGATAGAACTATGGGCACTTCTCTGGATTCCATGCTGTGCTATGCGTTTTGATAGACGTCGGGTGGTGTATCCGATGTACCTAGCATCACACGTCCAGGCGATTTGATATAGTACCAAGGCTTCGGAATCAACCAGTAGTCTGTCTTCGAGATGTTGCGTGATGAGGGGAGATGTTTCCGCAAGGGTGTGAACTCGAGCTGCCGGATACGTCTTGTTTAGCGCAAAAGACAGCCTTCTAGTAAGTAGCTCGAAGCGGATATCCCCTTTGAAGGGAACAGACGTCTTGCTTTCTGGCTGTGAACACAGATTCAGGGACCTCACGGATTACGGAGTACTTCTTAACAAAAGCAGTAGGATAACCGTTGCTTTGTAGAGTTATATGGTTGAAGTCTTCTTCTAGCTTCTTGGGGCTGCAACATTTTGTTGCCCTGTAGTACAAACAACGCACAAAATTTCTTTTTATTGTTTCACAGGGACGAAACTGAGCAAATGGGTCTATTGGCCAACCCAAGTTGTTTTTCTGTAGACGCTTCTTTCAAGCCACCCATCTCTACGTCGTCGTAACAGAACGTCTAGAAAAGCCAGTGGACCGCCGTTCTATGTCTCGCAAGTAAACTTCAAAGAAGAGTGCGCACAGTTAAACTGGTCCAATATGTTTGAAGGATTAACCTTGCTGTCACAAACAATAAACGTGTCGTCTATGTATATCCTTGACACTAATCCAGGGACTCGATAACATGTCGTATGGGACCGCGTTTGCCTTTGGCTAAGAAAAAATCAGCAAGTATCGGTCCCAAGGGTGATCTGATCGCAACTCCATCTATTTGCCGATAGTGTTGCCCGTTGAACAGAAACTGTTTGTTAAAGGTGTAACGTCGAATGAGGCTGAAGTGTTCTGTTAGTTGTTCACTGATGAAATCTACCATTTTTATCAAAGAGACGTTAGTAAAGAGTAATTCAACATCACAAGAGAGCATCATTTTCTCCCTTACTGTCCACTTTTTTGCCCGCTCGATAGATTCAGGCGGATTGGTTCGAGTATTTCAACGACCCCCTTTTGCCACTGCATATACGGCGGAACCAGACATGTGTTGATAATCGGACGTACTAATGCACTTTGGGTAACCCATATGGACGAGTTGGTTGGGGACCGCAATTAAGCATTCTGCAAATCGAAGCTCTCTCTTTGGGTCCACAATTTTTTGCATCACAACCTTACACGAAAGATCTGGATGCAGAAACACAGTTCGGGAACTTGATACACCGGCTAACTGACTTGACACTTACCTGTTCCCTTGCCTACAACTCTATCAGGGCCACATTAGTGCATCTTCCTCAAAGTTATCAGAACTTTAAGTCTCCGTTTTCAAAACTACTAGCGAACATCGGAAAGCTATTAAGGAACTTACATCCAATCCTTATGTCATACTTTCACGACCTGATAAAGGATCGGGTTGGGTTGTGATGGACAAGTCGGAGATGTGGTACTATTTTGAGCGATACGAGTAAATTCTCGTTGAACTCAGTACAAAAAGGTAGCGTTTCACGTGGCGAGACCATGCTCAACAAGTTGCTGAAGCAGGCCATCTATAAAGAGGGTACATTGCTCAAACGGTTAAACCCATGCGTCTCCCAACCAACTCATCTATATAGGTTACATGAGAGAAACCGCTCACAACCGGCACAGATGATTTTTACGGGTGTACTCATGCTCTACTCTACCGTATACAGAAGTGGTTAAGCTTTTCGTCTACACATGTTCACGGCAAAGCGTTATATTCGCTGTATGTTTCTCCAGTGAAAGCCTCTTGGTTGGTAGTTCGTGATATTTGCCTCACAGGCATGTCCCCGACATGGCTGTATGGCAGGGTACTCATATTGAGTTACTTGTTAATCGTTATTCCGGAGAACCTAGCGCCACTGTGGCATGGTGAATAATAGCAGATTATCATGGATTGAAATCTAACTGCGATGTGGTCCGGCCCATCCCCTACCTATATGCATGTTACTGTCCTTGCAGAGGACAGTGGTCGGCCCCCAGCTGTAATATAATTGCGGTGAATTAAACGAATCTAACCAAGTCCTTCTACTCATGAGTAGCTAAACATTAGCGACTCCAGGCTTCAAATTACTGTGTGGATTTACGGCTACGGGTAAACAAGTCCGGACACCTGAGGGCCGACTATTGTCTTCTGCATGGAAGTCAAGGATGGGTCGGACTATATCGCAGTTAGGTTCTAATTCATTATGGTCAGCTATCGTTTCCCATGGCTCAATGACATAAGCTGCTAGTTAGTGGTGCAAGCCGCTAGCGTTCATAGATTCGGTTCCCTGAAGAGTGGATTGAGGACATTCGCATCACTGCTTACTCCCAAGAGAACAAAACGGCCGTCTTTTGCTTCTCCGCTTTCGTAATTGGCAATTCTAGCTTTGGCTCTCTTCGCCATGAGCTACATAAATTCCAACATACAGTATCTAGCTGATAGCAATTCCCATCATTTTAGTACAGGTTTTGATATTTCAGGCTCTTGGTGCAACTCACAACACTTATCCCTAGCCTTTAATGATAATAATACAAATGACAATAGTGGTATATGTCTTAACGTCACAAGATACAGCTCGCAATAGGTACGCCGATCGTAACAGGGCATTTAGCTTCTTAAACGGGCATGTTGATAGATGCCCTATCGGTAGAGCTCACATGGTTACGAGCCCCAGCGGTACGCACACACGGGTAGTTGATTCCTATTTGAGTCTTGAACATATGGTTGCGGTTGACCATCAACATTTTGCGCTTTTGCTCCCAACGATGCTGCCAGTCATCCAATACTAAAATGTGTTACGTTAAGCTCCAATTTGACAACGTTACCAGGGCTGTCTCCTAATCATCGGGTTTCACCATATCACGGCAAACTCGGTGAGACTTCTTTAGCTGCTCCGAGGCGGGCATAGTAACAACAAATTTTCAAAAAGTATTGCGCAAGCAGCTAGCCACAGCTGTATAAAGTGATCAGGGGAACAACGATGAACTCATGCACGAGATAATTTGGGATGTGGAAACCATGGGTTTCTGTAATCCTTGGTCACTTTTGGAACAATTTCTCGAGTGAATTTTCCTCCAGAAGCATGTTCAAATCAATGTTTGAAATGCTGTCGTGCGCTAACGCCAGCTGATAAGGTTTGGTGGCATATGCCTCAACACCGAGTATCTGGTGGTAGGAAATTGAATACTGTATTATAGAGCAAGTAGAAATGAATTCCGTGTAACTCTTTCGAAATATGGTGAAAAACGTTATAAAAGTTGTCAACCGTGACTATCGTTGTCGTTCTCATGTAACATTTAAACTATCTGACTTACAATATTTCAGGACTCACAAATGTGATATGTCATCGTAAGTGTGCAATCGTTATCTGAATCGAATAGTGGTAAAATATAAATCTAACAACGTTTTGAACTGCTGCACAGATATTGCCTCAATCACATGTTCAGGTAAACTGTTCCAAATGTTTACCACTCTCCATTCGAAGCACAGTGGGTGGGGAACACCTTTCACATCCGGCACGACAAGTTTATATCTGTGTCCGCGTGTGCTATATGGCCTTCGCATGTGCAGCATTGGCCTCAGTATTGGGAATTCACCGAGATGTGGAATAGGTCATAATGAGGTCGACTCGCATCCGACGGTAGGACAAGGTGTAGAGTCCTAGTTTCTCGCACCGGTCTTCATACCCCAAGCCACGTAAAGTCGGGATG